CCGGTACCTTTTCAACGAACGTGGCTCCCACATCCTCTCGAGAGTGGGGGGCTTGCGAGACAACTCCCACGAGGAGCCAACTCGCGCAGTAATACAACCCGCAGCGAGACAACTCCCACGAGGAGACAGCTCGCTCGGTCCTACAACCTCTTACAAGGAAACTCCCACGAGGAGCCAACTCCCTACGAAACCATAGCGAGTTAACTCCCACGAGGAGACTACTCGCTCTGTCCTATAACCCGTTGCGAGGCAACTCCCACGAGGAGCCAACTCCCTCGGGTCTCAACGCCATAGCGAGATAACTCCCACGAGGAGCAAACTCGCTCGGCCCTACACACTCGTTGCGAGACAACTCCCACGAGGAGCCAACTCGCTCGGAACTACAACCCGTAGCGAGACAACTCCCACGAGGAGATAACTCGCTCCGTCCTACAACCCGCAGCGAGACAACTCCCACGAGGAGCCAACTCCCTCGGGTCTACGAAACCATAGCGAGATAACTCCCACGAGGAGACCATTCGCTCCGTCCTATAGCCCGTTGTGGGACAACTCCCACGAGGAGCTAACCCCCTCTAGTCTCAAAACTACAGCGAGACAACTCCCACGAGGAGTCCACTCGCTCAATCCTACAGCCCGTTGCGAGGCAACTCCCACGAGGAGCCAACTCGCTCGGTCCTACGAACTCACAGCGAGATAACTCCTACGAGGAGACCACTCGCTCCATCCTACGACCCGCAGCGAGGAAACTCCCACGAGGAGCCAACTCGCTCGGTCCTACGAACCCACAGCGAGATAACTCCTACGAGGAGACCACTCGCTCCATCCTACGACCCGCAGCGAGGAAACTCCCACGAGGAGCCAACTCGCTCGGTCCTACGAACCCACAGCGAGATAACTCCTACGAGGAGACCACTCGCTCCATCCTATGATCCGCAGCGAGATTACTCCCACGAGGAGCCAACTCGCTCGGTACTACAACCTACAGCGAGATAACTCCCACGAGGAGACAACTCGCTCGGTATCCCAACCCGCAGCGGGACAACTCCCACGAGGAGCTAACTCGCTCGATATTACAAATCCGTTGCAAGGCAACTCCCACGTGCAACCACCTCGCTCGATAATAAGACTCGCTGCGAAACAACTCCCACGAGGAGACAACTCGCTCAGAGCAACCTCAATCCACACGCGCCTAAATCGCGCATCATCCAATGCTCCTACAACTTCGCTCAAGACAACTCCCATGAGGAGACAACTCGCCCGAAATTCACCATATAATCGCAAGCTCAAGTTAGCACGATTACAATCCTAGAAGCACTTAGAGATATTATGAGAATCTATATAGCCTGGCCAGCTTGATTACTCAAATTTATCTACTTGTTTTCGATGGGTCATTCATTAAAACGTGGCCACGGTCCAAACATACTTAAGACCCACGAGGTCTAACAAGGGGCACGACCCCCATATAAAAAAAATCTTGAGAGCCTGATCCCCTCCTCAAGTACATCACGCAGAAAGCTATATGTAAACACATACAAGCAACGCGTCAAAACATTGAAAATGTCGAAAAATAACAACTCCCACGAGGAGAATACTAGCTCCGTGCTACTACATTATCGTGAGACAACTTCCACGAAGACGTAACTCGATCAACTCGATTACCCCAGAGACAACTCCCACGAGGAGATTACTTGATCCGTGCTACTACATTATCGCGAGACAACTCCCACGATGAGATAACTCGATCAACACTATTACCCCGCGACAAGATAGCTCCCACGAGGAGATAAATCGCTACTACATCGTCGCGGGACAAAACCGACGACTCGATTAATTTATACTGCGGCAACTTTGTCCCGCTATGCGCCAACGCGCATTCACACCCCTCCGACACACGCTCCAACGCGTTTTCGCATACCATTAGGCCATACGCCAATGATCGACTTCTCCAATTTTTACTCTCGACACGATTTGAGACCCACCACAACATGGCCCCCACATCGACTCGAGAGTGGGGGGCTTAATGATATGCCTAATTGGGCCAACCCAATGGGCCTACAATTTCTTTACCTACTGGGCTACGAGTCCAATATCGAAGACTAATATCACCGAGGCCCAAACACCTTCAAGTAAGGCTTGGGCCCAACAAAGCAAACCCAACCCAATAAACGACATATAAATAGAGGTTTTCCTCATTTTATTAAGGTACGTCCTATTATCTGAGCAGTACTACTAATGGTATTCTCTGGACTATTTCTATGATCAGCACGTCTGACTTGAGCGTCGGAGGGGTTTCCGCCGGATCAACCCCCGGCTTAGCATATGTGTTCTATGATCGCAGGTACCTCAGGATCATCAAGTTGTCAAGCTACTGATCTGCTTTGCTCTCCCAGTTCGTTTTCTACACCACCCTAGGTGAGCTAGTAATCAACATGATCATTGACAATCTCAACTAAGCTATAAATAAATGTTTGAATTCATTCCTTAAGGTACGTCCTATTAACTGAGCAATACTACAATACGTATTCTCTGGACTATTTCTATGATCAGCACGTCTGACTTGAGCGTCGGAGGGGTTTCCGCCGGATCAACCCCCGGCGTAGTTCACATGTGTTCATTTCGCAGGTACCTCAGGATCATCAAGTTGTCAAGCTACTGATCTGCTTTGCTCTCCCAGTTCGTTTTCTACACTACCCTAGGTGAGCTACATTTTAGCATCATCATTTTGGCGCCGTCTGTGGGAACGATGCAAACCAGATCACGTAGCCAACAAGATCCTCCTGAGGTGTCTGCTCGGAGAGAAAATGACACAGCTAACGACCTCCCACCTCGTGGAGGCTCTGGCTTGCCACCTCCTCCACGTCCCATGGATCCGCCTCGCGAGGTTCAGGTGATCCCCCCTCGGGACCCACCACTCGCCGATCCACCATTCCCTGCTCCTCGAATGGTTCAAATAACCGAGGATGCGCTTCGACGCATGATAGCAGAAGCTTCAACTCGCGCTGCCACAGAGGCCGTGACCCAATATATCGCCACGATGGGAGCAAATGCTCCCGACGCGATACCAGCACCTGCTCCACATGTGGAGCCACCTATGGCACCACCGCCATCGACTCCCTGGGGGCTTACAGCTGCCCCCAAAATATTCGCTCGCCAAGGGTTATCGACTCCCTGGGGCTTACATCGCCCCCAAAATATTTCGTTCGCCAAGGGTTATCGACTCCCTGGGGGTTTACATCGCCCCCAAAATATTTTGCTCGCCAAGGGTTATCGACTCCCTGGGGGTTTACATCGCCCCCAAAATATTTTGTTCGCCAAGGGTTATCGACTCCCTGGGGGTTTACATCGCCCCCAAAATATTCGCTCGCCAAGGGTTATCGACTCCCTGGGGGTTTACATCGCCCCCAAAATATTTTGTTCGCCAAGGGTTATCGACTCCCTGGGGGTTCACAGTGCCCCCAAAACATTTTATTCGCCATGGGTCATCGACTCTCTGGGGTCTACTTCCGCCCCCCCTCGAACGGTTCAGATAACCGAAGAGGACCTTCAGCATATGATCGCCGAACCTTCAACAAGATCAACTTCTACTTGCTCCTCTAACGGTTCAGATAACCGATAAGGACCTTCAGTGTATAATCGCGGAAGCTTCAATTTGTGCTACCACTGAAGCAGTGGCACCATACATCGTCATAGCAGGAGCCAACGCTCCTCCTCGTGAGACCCCACTGGGTCTTCAACATGATCAATTCTACTTACTTCTCGAACGGTTCAGATAACCGAAGAAGACCTTCAGCGTATGATCACGAAAGATTCAACTCGTGATGCCAC